GTAGTAAGACACAAAAGTTCATGGTCGTGTAGTTCATTCCACTTGGTGGATGAGGCAGATCTGAACATTCGATGAGGCTATTGTTTGGGTGCTTATTTTGTCTTCTGTCCATATTTTCGTATGTCATTTTATGTTTTTATATTACACTTTATTGAAGTTATTTATTCTGTGAATTAGTTCCACGTATTGTCGTTTGATTCGGTGTTTCATTTCAAATTAAAAATTTAATTAATATAATAGAAAGAAATGTTTCCATGCTTTTCAGCAGTCTGAGGCAGTGTAACTGGAAAAAAATAAAATAAAATAACTTCTTTTACTATACACAGCTGAAATAAAATTATGAAGGAACAAATTAATAGAGATTTGTCAGCAATAGTAAATAATACAAAAGAAAGCAGTTGCCAGCAGTTGTCCGTATCATTTCTTCAGAAAATCAAAACATCGGAGATGTTTAAAGGCGAATCACTGGAGGCACCACAGAATGGCTGTTTCTTCTTTTAGTAGTAAAGGATAGTACGGTTGCTATTATAACGATGTGCGATGACACATTATAGTTGGTGGACGAATAATTTACGTGCTAGTTGGCTCATAAGGGTGCTTGAAAGATTCCACCACACGGTTGCATTGAAAGCATGCATTTATATTTATTTTCTGATGGTATCCTGAAGCATATTCAGCTATTTACTTTGGGTGTTAAGAGTTCTTCATTTACTAGAATTCCAACGTTTCGACTGGGTTGCCATCAGTTATCGCGTAAGAATCTCTTCTGATTTCGGGTGTCATGACTTTGCTCCAGAAATTCATGGTTTTTGTAATGACGTCAAGTGATTGCTCATCATTTTCGACCTCCAGTCTTTACCTAATGCAAGGTTTGCTCTGATGGTAGGTATTTTGCAGCAGATAAAGTTTAGCCGCATCTGGCCTGAATTGATCAGGGCTCTGGTCCGAAGCTGAATCTACCCTAGTAACAGCAAAACCTAACGACGTTTATTCTGTAAAGTAGCACGATTTTCACGGAGTCCATGAACGTGATTGCCCCGAAGCGAAGTGACCAGAGTCTTTCGCCAAGGTGGTCCAACACGTTCTTTGCTCTGGCGGCGCTATGATAAGAATGGGTCAGTTTCTTGGTGAACCGATTGTTGAATGAACGTCGTTTCTCTGTGGACATCTCTCTTAGCTGGTTTTAAGTGTTGCATCGAAACCTCTATGGAATAACGGAGGGTAGAAAGGTGTTCGCATGGATTCACAGTTGCAGCTCACGGAACTACCTACGTGTTTTTGGCGGCCACTGGCGATCGCACTGAAAAGCATCTTCAGCAATCGATTCCCGGTTAAACTTGGACATGATGATTGCAAGGCGAAGAACCGCATTTCACGACTTTCAAATGGGAGTGAAATAAGAAAGTGCTATCGCTGCAGATGGAAAAGGGGTATTCGATTGAAGAAGCGTCTGAACGAAGCTATTGTCGTTGTTACGTTCACAGACCTGTCGAACATTGTGCGTTTCCTGAATGCCGGTGAAACTCATCATCGCCTAGATGCTCCGTTGACTGTGGGCGAATAAACATACCAATCAGAGCAACGGTCTTTCTGTTTTGTTTAATATACCGGTGCACTGTGTAATACAGAACAGAGTAGTCAGAAGATTCTTCCTCGTTGACACACAGGTGGCGACGTTCAGGTACACGTATTTATTCAGTCGGCTCAGCGAAGATATAGGAAATCAGCCCTTCAGGCCAGAGAGATAATCGAACTTTATGTCCATCGGGGCCAAAGAACTTACAGTTGCCCAGATTTCCAAAAGTCAGCGTAGGTATAATTTCGATATTACACGACTGTAGAATACATTTTAACTGGCATGGGATTTTGATTGAAATTGTAAGTACTTACGTTATGGTCATAGACACCAGTAGTAGTGTGAGGAAGCTTTGCGGCTTATAAACAACAGTAAAGTCGTTACAGATCATGCGAAAGGTTATTTAGGGGAAAAGGTTCATGACCGAATCTGACGATGCTACAGCGATGTCACAGATGTTGTGTGCAGGACGTTTCACACATACGAGTCAGAGCGGGAATCAGAAAACTCTATTGATTATGAGCCAGAGGGAGGAGTGTGGCCAGTGTTATATTCCTGTTTGAGGTAAAAGATATTCGCAGCCTCCGGTTGTCTGTAACAGCAGCCAAACGTTTTTGCTAAATCGCACCTGAAGCTCAGTATGGCTAGGAGACCGAAGACCACAAGAATAGAAAATTGAAAATATCTTTGTCGAGTGTTCAGCAGGACATGAATTACTGGGGTGGCATCCCTTTGGTGATTGCTTTCCGCCATGTTCGGTGTATGATATAAGGAACTTTCTTTAGATGTTGAAAAACTAACCATATTACGCTCACAAAGGCGCGGATTAAAAATCTTTCAGATACCTTGTTTCATTAATATTTCATTATTTAACGTGTCGGAATGCTCGAAAAGTAATCTACCTATCCGAACCAGTAGCATTGCTTGGCGCAATATATACCCTGATTCCCGGGACTACTACTACTACAAGCGCAAACTATGGCATCCGCTTCGAGGTGATTGTTCAATCGTAAAGCTTAA